ATACACATTAAATACACATTAAATAATTCACAAATTTGACTTGGCAATATGTAGTTAAATACTAAGTGTATAATTTCAACTGTAAATGCTGAAGAGGGCTAACGAAGAGGGAAGGCTACAACTGACCAGCATCCCATGACGATGTCCAGCAGAGCTTCATCAGCTGTGAGCAGTACTTCCCAAGGGTGCCAGACTCCAGAGGCCATTGTTCTCTCAAGTCAGAGAAAAAAATAACAATTTCTGTATCGTTAAGCCACAGAGAGGTAATTGCTGAAAGATAAAATCAGTATAGATTTCTCCTCCCAGCTGAGAACCCAAGCACCGCTGCCTCGTGTCAGCTCTGAAACACAGGAGAAGGTAAAGAATGTCCTTTCATTGTCTAAAATGAGGGACACCCACAAAGTAAACAAAGGGACTAAGTAAATTAGATTTTAAAAGTACTTTCGGTCTCAATTGTCTAAGGAGTTCCAAGTGCCACACAATGCAGCTGGATAGTATGTGTGTTTGGGGAATGATATGGGAGTAGCACTGTAATTGAAATTCTTCTCTTCCCCTCCCGAACTGATTACTGCAGGAATTTGCTCCATTATAGACTCCCCTTCTCACGCTGTTTACTTTTTTCCATTCCTGCATCTAATGTTTTCCACTCCTGACTCCTACGAGAAGTGCTGTATTCTCAGAGAGAGCATTCGGGGTGAATCTGGTGTTTCAGTTCTGTTCACAGAAGTCTCCATCGTTATTCCTTCTCTTCCTCTTTTCTCAGCGTGACCCTTTCCCTCCCCGTTTCCCCCAGTCTGCCAACGCCTCTTCCTCTCACTTTGCTCCATCCTTGCTCTTGCATTCTGACCCGCTGGTGGAAGCACAGAGGCACACGAGTGGGCATGAACAGGGCCCCGTGTCACATACAAGGTCCCTTTCCTTCCTGTTGCATATACCCTTAACGACACAGAAGATATTCCTTAGTATAAAAGCGTGATGGTTGAATCCATTAATATTTAAAATTTGGAATTCTGTATAGTGCATTTTTGTTAAGCTAGTCGGTGAAGGAACTTTTGAAAGCAAAGCCCGACCTCTGCCCTGGCTATTGAAAACTTGGCACTAATTTAGATAGTCACCTGTCATTACTCTCCGTTTTTTTAATAGTTCTAGGCTCCTCCTCTTGACTTACTACTCTCTCGCTGATTTCCACCAGACGGACTTCCTGTGTCATACCACATCCCTTCAGAACCTTGCCCCTACCCTATGCCCCACACCATAAGTCTGGTTTTGCTGACAGGCATATTGGACAGCTCAGGGAGTCTGATTTACAGTAAGTCCCAAGTTTCCCTAAACATGAAGTGCCCTGGTGTAAGCTACCACCTGAATCTTGCTCTCTTTACAGAAAGCCAGCCGACCTGCACAACCTAGCCCCTGGCACCCATCCGCCCTTCCTGACCTTCAACGGGGATGTGAAGACAGACGTCAACAAGATCGAGGAGTTCCTGGAGGAGACTTTGACCCCTGAAAAGTAATGAGCTGCTTATTTCCAGAGCTAACTGCAGGGAGGGGTCCATGCTGGAACCAAAACAGCACAGAGTTAAGTTTGAGGTGGCAGATTTCCAAAGGAGCCTCACTGATTACGAGCATAGGATACCTCTTTTCAAAGAGAGAGTCTCAGATGCCCCTGGCTGCCATTCTTTCTCCTGTGACATGGGGCAGATGGCTCCCTCCTAAACAGAGCGACTTTAGAAGCTTTGGGAAGGTTACCACGCCTCCACCCACCCTGAAGAAGTTGTCTCTCCAGTTCATTTGGCCTGGAAGACCCCCAAAGGAGGGTCTGGAAGACCCCCAAGTGAGGGCAAAGTCTCCTCATTTCAGAACAAGAGTGGTAAGGCTGATGAAAGGAAAATAAGCCAGGAGAGAGGTAACCCCATGACTTAAAGCCACACCAAGGTATGAATAAGAGTCGTAAATCTGACCACGTCTAATCTGAGCTCATAATTAAGCATAAAGAAACTGATTGAAAACAGCTCCTCTTCTGAAAATGAGCACCGGGGAGGGAGGGACCAGAGGGCTGTTGGTTTCTGTCAAGTAAATGCTGCTCCTAGTGGAAAATAGGAATAAAGAGAGGGCAGATGAATTCCGAAAGCAACTGGAAGCTAGACTTGTTCATTATACTGTATTATAATCGTGGATTAAAACAATCACAAAAGTTAAAAAAAAAAAAAGGCAATATCACATAGAATAAGGCATGAATGGACTTTATCCTGTAGGGTAGCTGCAGAAAAGTTCTAAGCAAAAGTGCTGGAGAGTCAGTTTTCAGTCTTACTTTGCAGGGTGGAGGAAGATGGGGAGGACATGGATGAGAGAGCTGGAGGTGGAGAATTCAGTTAGGAGGGGGCCAATCAGTGGCAGTCCAGGCAAGACAGACAGGAGTGTTGAGCAAAGGCAGTGACAGTGAAATTGGGAGAAAGGGTAAGAAGGATTCAGGACATACGTAGCAGGTAAAATAAGTGGGACTTTACTGAAAACCACCATCGTGCGTTTACTTTAAAGTTTTATTTATTTATCAACACTTTCATATCGCCTTCACTTTGTGTACCCCAGGAAATAGGAGAGACTCATTCTATAGTTGGGGAAATTGAGGCATGGAGAGAATGAGTAACTTGCCTAAGATTACACATGTAGAAAATCATTGTTAAGTTAAAACTTCCAGTCCTGCTCTGATAGGACTTGAGCAAATAATCTTTGTCACCCATATGAGGACAATTAATTTTTACACTAATTGTAAGAAGCTGCCTCAAGCTCAATGGAAGCAGCTGAATGTAGACTACAAATAAGTACATTAAATAAACACCCAGCTCAGCCATACACATCTCTGAACAGGACACCAGCCACTTTGCTGAAAGGCCCGAGGTGGCTCAGGCTCTATCCTTCTCCTTTGGGACTTGACCTCCTTGTTGGCACTATTTTTGTTTGTTTTTTTGTTTGTTTGTGTTTTTGTTTTTTGTGTGTTTTTTTGGTTTTGTTTTGTTTTGTTCAGAAATAATGGAAAACTGAAGCAGTGAGGAACATGATGTCCCTTGTGTTCCTTTGGCTAGCCAGTGGATAGGGACATGCAGGGGCCGGGCTGAGCCCAGAGGCCTCGGGTCCACTCCTAGTATTTCCAGTGATGTGCTATGATCCCTTGAACCAATTTCTTCTCTGCTCTCAGCCTCAGTTCCTTCCTCTGTGAAAGGATGACCCCAGAGCCCTTTTTGCTCTCAGATTCTTCATGCCCACCTTAGCCAGGCTCCTTCCACCTTCAACACAGCTGTGCCTTTCCCGGCTGTTTCTCTGACTCAGAATTCTCCAGTCTACATCCACAATGGGACCAAGGGGGTCCATGAGACCCCCAGAATTACATGCCCCACAGGTGCAGGTACGTTATTCCAGAAGAGGGTCATCATCATATTCATTATAATTTCATCAGATTCTGAGAAGTTTCCAAATAAAGCTAAGCAGCGTTGGATGCAGATGCTTTCTTCTCTCCTCTCCGTCTACCCACATTACCTGTCCTGAGCTCTGCTTCCTCTGATCTGGGGCCTTTTCTGGACTGCAGTTTTGTGTACGAAGTTTTACTAAGTTCAGTCCTGCCATGTCAGTGACCTGACAGTCCACCACACCCAGGTAGCAGACCTTGGACCTGTTAAAATGCACAACTTTGGGAGGCTGCCAAGGCTGAGGCCCAAGTGAGGAGACCACCCACAATTCCAGAGCACACAGGAGTGTCCCTTAGATACCTACATATGGGTCAGACTGGGGCAGGTACCATAACTACCTCCTGGTAAATGTCATCAAGCTAGCTTCTCAGTCCCACAGAGAGAATCTCACTGTTCTGCCCACAACAAGCCACCAGCTTCTGCTGGCTTCCAGCTGACTCATGATGGAAGGTTGGGTGGCTTGAGCCCTGAGGTCCCTGGAGGAGTGTAGCCTGAGCTTCTGGTTCTCTAGGGGGCAGCAAAAAACCCCATAACTGTTCAGCGAGCTCTGGTCAGCCATGTGTTTCTCATCACACCGCTGTTTGTAAAAGCTGCCAGAGAGCCAAGAAATTGTGGGAGCCTTTTTCCCCTTGGCTTTATTTTTTAAAGGAAAAAACCACATACGAACACTCCAACATTTTTTTTTAATCACATTTGGTCCCACAAAACGTTGATGTCAAAATGAGGAATCTAGGGAGTCTCAAGTAGTTTCTACATGAGACTAACTTCCATCTATCCCTTTGCTTAGATGGACCTGATTAATGATCAACAGGGAAGCGTTGGTGTTAGTGTTGAGACATGCTGGCCCTTTACCTTTCATCTCCATGGAATGGCCAGAGTTAATAGGATTTAGAACTGAAAGTCAGAAGACCTAATCTGGCCACATTTCTACAGTGTTTGTCGTATGATATTGGGCAAGCCTCTCTCCCACTCAGATCCGCCTCATTTCCTCATATCTAAAATGGGGGGGGGGGCAGGTGAAACTACCGTCTCTAAGATGCTTTTCAGCAGTAGTTCTATAATTCCATGAGTTTTGCAAAGGACTTTTTTAAAGCTGGTTGTTATTTAAAATAATCCTAGTGTATAGATGCTATGATAAAATTCAGTGAGGAGTGGGTAAACTGGTAAAGTCTGGTTACATGGCATGTCATTGAATCAGTCAGGCAAGTATTGAGTATTAACAGAGTTCAGAACACTGCCAGAATCAGAAGCCACTTTGAATTCATTATTTTAAGAAATGTTTATAGATATCTCAAGATAGTAAAAACCAAGACTATTCTTCTAACCCTCTGGGAGGTGGAGAAGCAGCCTCAGCACCAACGACAGGATGGCGTGGTGGCTGAGAGTATGGACTTTGGAGTAAGAATGACAGGTTTAATCTATGCCGCTAGGTTGTGCTATATATACTGCAGTAATAAATTAGCCACGAAATCTCAGAAGTTTAACAGAGGATGTGTTTATTTTTCACTCATGCAACAACTGAGTGGATAGTGTGACCCTCTTCCAACTCGTAGCTCTTGGAACACATTTCCTCCAGGGCTCCTTTGTCAAGGAAAGAGCAAGGAGGATCATGCAAAATGGTTTTAAAGGCCAGGGCTATGAGTGATTGTATCACTTCCACTCCCATCCTATTGGCCATAATCTAGTCACGTGGCCCCAACCTAATTGAGGGAGAAGTTGGGAAATGCAGAGAATCATATGAATATTTGATGAACATAAGTGGTGTCTACAGCAAGTAAATTACTTACAACTTCTCTAAACTTTAATTCTCACATCTATAAAATGATGACCATAATATTGCTCTTGAGGGACTACATAGAAGATAATACTGCTTAGTTTAGTGACTGACATAGAGTACGAACTCCTTAAATGGCAGCTTGACAAGTTAGAAAAAGAGATCAGCACCTCTTTTGTGCCAGTCTTGCAGACGCAATCATAACGACAATTGGTGAGCTTAGGTCTTACAACCACAGATCCCAATGAATGCCTTTTAATGAATAAGCCAGACCCCGTCCACCTGCAAGGATCATTTGCTTAAGTAGTAGGCAGGACAAAGCAAGCACATAGTCAAGGATCAGAAGAGTCAGAAGCATTAACCTGCTTCTCAAGTGAGAGTTTGAAGTGAGAAAGCAGGAATAATAAAGAAGGGACAGTCTTTGTACTTTTCAGCTCATTAGAAAAGGAAGGTCAACACTCAAGCTGCCAGGAGAGCCCCTGGTATTAGCAAAGGTCACTCCATGAGGACAGGAGGACAGACTCTCTTTTTCTCCAGTATATCCCCAACTCCAGGGACATGCCTGGCCACTGGTAGGTCCTTACCTCATGTTGATTTAATTTCATGGAGTCCTTTTGTTCAATGACATGGTGATCTATGGCTAGTCAATGAGAAGTCAGTTGGGACTCTAAGCCAATTAGACCACTTCCATTTGCAATTATACACACACACACACACACACACACACATATTGTTATCATTTACAAAAAAATATTGTTTTTGATGAAGGGCAAACTATTTTACTTCTCAGAATGAAGCTTAAGCGCATGTCTAAGATGAATGCATTTGGAATAAGATCTCTTAAAATCAGAGTGGAGAGAAATTTTCATTAGTTAGAGCTGAGATCAGCAAACTTTTCTGTAAAGAGCCAGAAAGTAAGTATGTTTGGCTTTGTGGGCAATATAGTCTCTGTCTCAGCTCCACTTTTGTAGAGTGAAAGCAGTCATAGACGATATGTAAGAGAATGGGCATGGCCGTGTTCCAATAAAATCTTATTTATGAATACTGAAATTTGAATTTCATATTGCTTTCACATATCACAAGATAATATCCTTCTTTTGATTTTGTTTCAATCTTTTAAAAGTCTTAAAACTATTCTTAGCTCCTGAGAGGTACCTAAATGGATGTTGGGCTGTATTTGGCCCACGGGCCATAGATCGCTAACATCCAAGTTAGAGAAATTCACTATTTCCTTGTCTGTCACCAGACTGCATCACAGTGTTATTTCAACAATGTTTCTGTGAATGCAACACTATCTGCTAGCCTTTTGGAGAAAGAGAATGTTCTCTGTAGCCCACTTATTGCATATTTAAAATATAGCATAAACACGGAGCTAAAATAAATGCACTTAACATCCTGTACAGCAACTTTCCCAAATCTAGTTACCAAAATCTGTGAGATAAATATTTGAAGACATGCTTCTCACAAGGATAAACTGCAAATGGGACATTAATCTATACAATAAAAAATAAGTCAGAGCTTAGAAAACAGGATGGCACTGCCATGGTCTGCATCAACACACAACCCTTTGTCATCCTTCTTGGATCTGGTACTCACTCATGTTTGGCTCACACTGATCATGAAGAAATGGTCAGATTATTGGAAGTCTGATCTAATGATGGTATAAAGAAGAAAAAAAAATGCGTTTTCTAGGCCCTTCTCTCTTTACATTATTACCTTTACAAAACAAAGGACTCTTGATACATGTTAATAATAATTAAAGTGATCAAGTATAAGAGCATGCCAGATTCCATATGAGAAGGCCAAAATAGGGAAGGATGATCCTAAATTCCCAAGTCTTGGAAGATTACCTAGCATTTGCACGCAACCTTGCTTTGTCCTCCAGTCAGAGCAGATGAATTTGGTAATTCTCAGTATATGCAGGAAGATGTGTGATGAACCTGTGCGGAGCGCCCCCTCCTGGTGGATAGAGAGAGTTCATCCATGGTGCTCAGCCAAGCTTCATCCAGCAAGGGTTTTGAGTCTTTGAGGGTAAAACAGCAGAATTAATGAGAGGCCACGGGACATGGAACTTAAGAGCTGGGCTTCCAAAGTGAAACTGCCTCGGTTGGAAGCCTGGCTCTGCTACCTAGTCACATGGCCTTAGACAAATCGCTTAACTTTATGCCTCGTTTTTTTCATGAGGCTAACAACAGTACCAATAGAATTGTGAGGAGTCTATGATGGATACATATAAAGGGGTTAGGAGAGTGCCTGGAACGTAGTAGGCATTCGATACAAAACCCAAAAAGATTTGTAGATCCAGCTAGAAACAGGAGTATTGCTTGTCTTGATGGGAACAGATGTTCCTTAAAGGAACTCCAGTTCTCACTGATCTTACACTGTGTCTTCCATCCCAGGTACCCCAGACTGGCTGCGAAACACCGGGGATCCAACACAGCAGGCATCGACATCTTCTCCAAGTTCTCCGCCTACATCAAAAACACGAAACAGCAAAACAATGCTGGTGAGTGACTCCCCGCCACCAAGAGCCCCTGGAAGTCCTGTCTCCTGCTGAGGGCATCTCGGACACTGAGGTCAGAGAAGCACCTGAGAGCAATGCTGCTTGTTATTCGCCTACCTCACATCCCTCTTGACACAGGGGAGGGGGGTCTAGATCCTGCTTTTTTTGGCTAGTGCAGGAGAAAAGGCCGGTGGGAGGGAAAGATGCAATGCAGTGTGTATTCTGAGCCCACCTTAGTGCACGGCATGATGCCCTGCACAGAAGGTTTCCACCTCCACACACTACAGTCCCCATGTCCCAAATTCATGACCCTGCCTGTCTTCTCAGGAAGTCCTGATTGGAACAACACATTCCAGCTTCCTTTTGGTCCCCAAAAGACGTCTAAGGGGGTTATCCAGCAGTCATGGTGGGACACTGCAGTCATCACAGTGGTGAATGCTGATGAGGGGCCTGGCCCTCTGCATTCTCCCTACTTCAAGTACAGAGGGTGCTAGGGAAGCCATTTCTCAAAGCCTGGCTCTTTCTCCATCTGACTTTGGCTACAGAGCTCAGGACTTGGTTCTCTTGCGGTGCCTTCTCAGAGGGCTTTGAGTACCTCATTTAAGCTCACAGCATCTTCAGCCCCTCCTTTGGCATTGTCCTTTAAGAATTAGCTAAAGCAATTTGAAAAGAACTATCAAATTGAGCAACAGGTCTTCAAGAATACTTGGAGAACTGTTAGGCCCTAGTGAAGAAAAGAAAGAACGATGAGAAAGTTTGCTTGCCCTCTGAATGAGACAGCCTTACAGGCTGCAGCCTAGAGCCCAGCACAGAGCCAAACAGAGTAAGCTCTTCACGAATCTTTGTGAATGAATGATTGAATGAATGAACGAATTCGGACAATCCGATAAACACACAATGGACCAGAACAAGGTGGTATATGCTAGATGCTCCAAGTCAGAGGAGAAAGGCATCTCTTTAGACCAAAGGTGACCAGGAAAAGTAGCCATGCATGAGATGAAAGAGAATAAACTTGGAGGCGCACAGAGCTGGTGCAATTGGAAGTAAATAATTTAGTAACAGTTACTGAGGACGTGGATTGTGCCAGACACAGAACTAGGTTCTAGAAAAAGAACTAGAAAGACACTCCCATTTTTTGAGGCCTGGCTGATGCAGAAGAAAAGGCTTAAATTCGCAAAAACATCAAATAACAAGAGATGAATGATGGTTTAATCAAGAGAGTCTAAAGGCCTGATTGACTGCCACGTGAAAGGGTAAAACAGCATCTGCTGAAGGTGTTCAGAACAGGAAGAATTTATCTTCATTGCCTTTGAGAAAATTGCTCGAAGGAGTTTCCACTGGGTCATAAAGGTTAAAGGGGAGTCAGCTGGCTGGAAACGCCGTGTGGATGTGGGGAGGGTGAGAAAAGGCCCATAACTGAGACTGGGGGAAGTGACCAGAGCCTGCAGTGCCAGCCCGGGAAGCTGGATTTTATCCTGGGAGCAATGGCAGCCATTCAAGGTGTGTGAGGAGGCACTATAAGGAGAGTGGCCTTTCCTAGTTTGAGTTCTGGCAATGCATTGAAAACTAAAATAAAACTTTGTTGAAAGAATGAGCAAATGGATGATAGACTTGGGTGTTAGGTTTAGTTCTGCCATTAATTATTTACTGTATACATTCTGACAAGTCATTAACCTATCTAAGCCTCAAGTTCTTTACCTATAACAATAACATGAAGATATTAGAATAAATTATTCTTTTGGGAAAAAAAAAGAAAGAAAAAGAAAAAAGAGAGAGAGAGAAAGTGGCCTTTTAGGGACCAGAAGAAGGATGAGAAAAATATTTTTTAAATGTGCAGTGCCCTGGCTTTCTTGCGTTCGGACTCTGGTAGTGTCCCCACAAATCCTCACCCACCCAGGACCTCAGAATGTGGCCTTATTGGAAATAGGATCTCTACAGATGTAATTAGTTAAGGGTCTCACGATGAGGATTTAGTGTGGTCCTTAAATCCAATGACTGGTGTCCGTATAAGAAGAGGCGAGGACGCAGAGACGTAAGAGAGGAGGTCATGAGAAGACAGAACTGAGGCTGGGGTGCTGCAGCTGAAGACCCCTTGGGGCTACCAAAAGCTGAAGGAGGTGAGAAAGCCTTCCCCTCCGGAGCCTGGGGAGGGAGCATGACCCTGCTCATGCCTTGACTTTGGCCTTCTGGCCTCTAAAACTGTGAGAGAATAGATTTCTGTGGTTTTAAGCCATCTAGTTCGTGGTACTTTGTTGTGGCAGCCCTGGGAAACGAATGCAGCCCCTCACAGCCAGCATACGGAAGGACGGTTACTGCCACCATCCTGGCTGAGGACTCAGAGGCAAATGAGAAGACCAAGACTTGTCCTTGCCTCCCCCCAGTTCCCGCAGAGCTGGCTCTCACTTCTAGTTTTCAGATTCCATATCCAGCGTCTTTTCCTCTCAGCCACAAATATCTTCCTTCATACTTCTCAGAGCACCCTCAGAAAGTTTATCTCATCTGAGCCTTCCAGACTTTTCAAGTTATAAACTGTATTTACATATTACCCGTACTTACATTCTATCCCCAAAGCCAAAGCTACAGTTTCCACTGAACATCGCGTATCAATTTCTTATAAACTCAACAGCACTCTCCAACTTTCATTGTTTCTGCTTCTTCTATTTCACCCTGTTTTCTCCTCTGTGCTGGGTTTTACCCTTTTGACTCCTTCTCCCTCTAACTCATTTGTACATTTTGAAGCTCCCATATTTCTGCTTTCCTAGAGCCAATCCCCCAGATCACAGTCCTTGGAGCTTCTCCTGTCCTGCTTTCTAACAAGACACCCCAAATTCTTCATTGTAACCGTTGTAACTATAGCTTGCCCACTCCCCACCCTTCCCCTTCACTTTTCCTTCCCCTGATTCCATAATCCCCATTTATAGTCAACTAGGTTCAAAAGTTCTCCTGCAGAGAGCAGGACCACGGCCCCACCCCACATAGCCGCTTCTCCACTTTCCGGAGAGACTGTCTGCACCTCATCTCTGCCCTGCTTTAGCTCTGTAGTGGAAGTGGGGGGAGGCCTCTCACAGTTCTCTGCAAAGGCATCGGCATTACACCCCTGGCTTCCTTGGGCATGCCTTCCTGCACTTTTCCCCTATTTGTCCCTCTGAATCTTCAGCTCTGCATCTATTTCTGCAATGTCCTTTCTGCAGATTGTCTCTTTTGTGTTTTTAACTTTTTTTTCTTTTGAGTGGAGTCCTCCTTCCTTCTCCACTTAATGTCCCCAGCCCCCATGCATACAATGGCTGTGGCTGTGGTCCTTTCCTGCCCTCTCAAAGTCAGAGCATGACAAAACCCAGCACTGGGATGTGGTTCTGCGTGATGCATCATCTCTCCACTCCTATGGCAGGCACACGAATCGCCATTCCCTGCTGTTCCACAAAACCGCAAAAGTCCCCAGCTACCAGAACCAGATCCTATCCTGGGGGGTTGTCCATCGCGATCACACAAGAAAGTTGTCCATTACTGTGTACATTCAGTCATCCCTTTATCTACTCAGCAAACACAGAGTGGCTACAAATCTGAGCTAATGTTTAAATTAGGGCCTTTCTTGTGTGCCAGGTACGGTGCTAGGTTCTAGAGATGTCAAGACAAATGAGACAAAGTCATTGTCCATGATGAACTAACTGGGGGCAGTGAAACATGTAAACAGGCAGTTACTGGCTTGGCTTGAATTCCAGATCTGCCACTCCTAGTTGTACAGCTTTGCCCAAGAGACTTATTCTCTCTGAGCCTCTACTTTAGCATCGGTTAAGATATACTTAGTAATACCTCCCATTTCTTCATCTGCTACGTAAGTCAATTCATAGCTTATTTAAGGTTTGTAATGCAGATTCATTCATCTGATCAGTCGATGCTTTTAAGCCCTTTAGCACAGTGCCCGACACATAGTAAGTGCTCATTAAGTGCTAACTTTGATTATTGTGATTATTGTAAAAGTGAGACAAACACAAGTATTGGCATCAGGAACTGCTTTTACATCCCCCCTCTCCCCAACCTGCACTTCCAAACATCCTGCCTGTTTAGTCTCCTTCCTACTTGTTCAACTTTGTTTCCCATTTTCTTGGTGCTTTTTCCTGGATCAGGGGCCTGATGCTAGCTGTTACAGCTCAGCACTGCTGTGCTGGACCCTGAGGTCCTGGCTGTTCTACTGTCTGTCTCTGCGCTGCCTCCTCCTGTCTCTGCCTGAGCTGGATCCCCTCTGTCTGCTGTGACTAGATTCACCTCTACGCCCTCCACATCCCCTTTTCAAACTTGCTTCTCACTTTACTTAAACGTAGCCAGAATTTTCTCACGGCAAAGTTTAGAGACCACACATTTAGTAATATGCTACATGGGCTCACTTGCTTATCACCTGGGACCCACCACCACCACCCCCGGAGTGACAGAAAAACAGGACTTGTTCTGGACATGCTGAGTATCCCGTGGCTCAGTCAGGCAACTGCGTGGTGGTTTAATGAGTAGACTGAAGCCGACTCTCTCGGTTCTGACCAGATTGGCCTCTTGTTGGCCTTCTGACATTGGCCAAGTTACATTAAGTCTCTGTGCTTCAGTTTCCCCATTTATAAAATGGGTTAATAACTGTACGTACCTCATAAGTATGCTTGGAACAGTACCCGCCCCCGTGTTTGAATGTCAGCTGTTGCTCTGAGCTGTTGTCTAGGGGCAAACAGTTATACCTCAGCAGCGAGTTCTGGGTAGTTTGAGGATATATATATATATGTATGTGTGTGTGTATATATATATTTGCTGTACCTGGAATAGCAATAGTCAGATTTGCTGTACCTGGAATAGCAATAGTCAGATTCATAGGGGGTGGGAGGAAGGAATGCGGAGTTAGTGTTTAATGGGGATGGATGCACAGCACTGTAAATGTACTTAATGCCCCTGAACTGTATATATATAAAACTATGTCCATTAGTGAGAAGAGGCTAGAGACAACAGGCAAGGATCACCCACCTTAC